TTCAAGTGGAGACCGTCGAACAGAAATTGACTACTGACCGGGCAGCGCGTTACACTAAATTAAAAAAAAAAACACAAAGGATTGCAAAGTTATTCCAGGTGAAAGTTGCATACCTCAGCATAAGCCACTACCTCTAGATTCCGGTTGAACGACAAAAAAACCCATCTAACAACAAAGCACGAATCAGATGGTGGAAATTGTAGAAATTTCTGGCTAATGAAGCTGAAGCTCTAACACGTACTTTAACGGCCTTATGTAAGAAAACAGAACAATTATGGTCAACCATGAAGAGTAACGTACATCGATAGCAAGGAATTTGCTGAATCATACGAAGCCAGGAAGAAGAACCTCTGAAGAAACTTGGTGTTGGAACGATGAGGTTCAAACGGTGATAAAAGAAAAGACTCAGGCATACAAGCGAAGTCGAAATTGGAGTGATCGGTAGTTATGCCTAACAATGAGATACGTTGCAAAAACATGTGTTAAGAAAGCGAAAGGCATACGTAGAAGAGCTATAAGAAATTAAAACCTCGTGAGGGAGAGCGAGACATATACCAAACAGCGCGAAGGAGGGCAGAGTCCGCAAAAGATTTGAAATGCTTCTACCGTCTCAAAGACAAGCTTGGAAAACGCCAAGGACACGACGGAAACTAATTGAGAGATGGCGAAGTGTTTCGAAGAGATGTCCACTACCAGCCCTGACACTGCCTTCCACCTGACCCTGTGAACCGATCAGTGCCACTCATAGCAGCTGAGGAAGTATGGTTCGCTATAACAAAGGCAAAGAGCGGCAAGGCTTCCGGTCTAGATGACCAAGTGAATTTTGGAAAGAATGCGGATGGTTCCGTGCCTCTTCGCTTGCAGGCCTCTTCAATCAAGTCATCAAAGCTGAGAATATGCCCGATGACTGGTCAAAGAGCACATTCCGATATGGAAGAATAAAGGCGTTATCGCACTGTTCAACATATTGGCCAATCCGACTGATAAGCCAAGCTTTGAAGATCTTCGACAGAGCACTTGAATCACGACTTCAAGCGACCATAGAGTTGCCATCCAATCAGCGCGGATTTGTAAAGAGTGCCTGTACTGCTCACGCCATTACTGTACGGATAGTGATGGAGAAGTATAGAGAACAACGAAGAGAGATACATGCGATTTTCCTAGATATGGAGAAAGCTTTCGACAAGGTACCCCCATAATGTCATATGGGCACTACGAAAACACATGGTTCTAAAAGTATACATCCAATGGATAAAAATGATCTATCACGGAGCCACGAGCCATGTGCAAACTGCGGCACAGTCAAATACAGCATGAAGACCGGCGTCAATCAGGAATGGTGCTCTCTCCTCTACTCTTCATCAGAATGATTTACGCAGTGACGGAAGGTCTCAAGCGACAGCGACAGCCTGTATGCAGACGATGTGATATTGATAACGTAAACCAGAAAAGAACTTGAAGAAGAAGTACAGAGATGGAAGGACCAATTAGAGTCGTACGGCTTAAAGCTCAATACAGAAGACAGAATATTTGGAAGTGGGAGATTGAACATCAGAAATTATACACATCTATGAGAAGCCAATCAAGAAAACGAGTACCTTCAAGTGCCTAGGAAGTCGCATTGCTGGCGAAGAGGACTTAAAGATGGGGTATGCAAGAACAAAAGTACTCTAGATGGAATGGCCTTCACAGGAGCTCTATGCGACAACCAGATGCCAGTGCAACTCAAATCCCAAATATGCCGTACTGTGACCCGTCCCATAGCGCTATATGGCTGCGAATGTTGGCCCAGTACGCGAAATGAAGAACACAAGCTTAGTGTCATGGAGACAAGAATGCTGCGGTGGACATCGGGCATCACCATGCTAGATTATGTCTGTAATGATAAATTTCGAGCTAGGATGAAAGTTGGTCCCGTGGTTAAGAAGATGCAGGAAAAACAACTGCGATGGTACGAGCATGTGAATAGAAGAGGTAGACCAACATCAAGAGTGACAATTTCTCTGGAGGTCGCTGGAAAAAGACCACGGGGAAGGTCAAAGATGAGGTGGATGGACAGAATCAAAGCTAACTTGAAAGTGGATGAATTGATTATGACTAGGATAAACGAGCATTTCCTGCGTAAGCGGCAAAATGCGAAGACAAAAAAACTCGCCCACAGAGCTCAATTTGCTTGGATGAATTGATTATGACTTCCATTCTTTACAGATATTCGAAAACACCAAAATATATGCTTTGTCGAATGTAGCATATATTCAGTAAAAGTGAAGCAATGAAATGCAACACACAAAGGTACATAACATAAGTATGAAATTCCTCAACAGCACACGCATTCCTAATAATTCGAGTACTGCAACCATTTTGAAAACTTAGCATGGAACCAATCCTAT